TCGATGTCATCAATTTCATGCGCAACTCTTCGTCGCCGGTGAACCCGTTCAGCACCAGAAGCGGCGACAACTGGAAGAGACCGGAGTAGACGAGCGGCCTCTTGAGCGCCGACCGGACGTCTTTCGTGAGCGTATAGTTGACTACTTTGAAGGTGAGTGTCGGCCCTCTCGGCACTCGACACAGTCGGAGGTACGCGGCCTTCACTGTCTTCGTGAAGATCACCAAATGAGTGACATTCAGACTGGAGGCGATGTGCACGAAGTCCTTCACCACGTTATAGCGCTTGATCTTCAGCGACATCGCTGTAAACGGTTCCAACACTTGTCTAAAGTTGTGCAACAATTCGTTCACATTTTTGCCGACTTTACCACGTTTTATGACAAAACTGTGCGGAGCTTTTGTCACCGATTCCGGCTCTTCGCCGCCCGCTTTGGATCCCTTCTTCGACTATCATTTGGTGGCAATCGATGGTAAAAATACAAGACATGCCGTGAGTTTGCGGTTCAGATTTAACAGTGAATTAAATACATGTAAAAACATTATAAATACCTTTCGCTTCCTTTTGCCCATTGTTTGCGATAATTATATATTTGTTTTACAATTAATTTAATTATTAATTCACTAATGATTTAAATCACAATTTGTTTGTCAATTGTGTTGTGATTTTCAGTTCAATAGACAACACAAACACGTGTTTTGGTGCTGTGTTTACAATACCTGACGTCATGTGTGGGCCCTTATTATAGTGTCGCTTAACATACAAAGCAATGCTTTTGTTTGGTATCCAAAAGGCCTAACAATTGGCTCTCATTTACTGTTTTCGCATTTCAATGCCTTTTGCAGTGTTTGTGAAGGCATTTAAAAAACTAATCGCCAATCAATTGGTTGTGTTAATTAATCTGACATTTAATTTTGTTTATTAAATCATTTAACAATTATTATACATACTGAATATGTAAGTCCATTATAGATTCACTCATGCTGTTAATTCATATCAAATTAAACATGTAATCTAAATACTAGCTTATATTTTGACCATTTTTACCCAGCATATTTAAACTATGAAGTTAACTTTTTAGAATTAAACTTTTCATTTTGCACTTTGTAATGCGAGAAAGTAATTAATGTGAATATAGGTTTGTGGTAATCAATTACAATTTGGTTATTTTCTAATAGTGTTATCTTGTTTATCATGTTTTGCTGCAATATTTACACAAATCTAGATAATTCACCACATAATCCATTGCAGGGAATCCTTGTATTTTTAAGTATCAAGGTACAATATTTATCACAACATTATGTGACATATAATGATAATGAAATGACATTTATTATTTTACCCTAGCATTACTTGTTCACCTCTGTTAAAATTAATATTAGAAATATTAATAATAACTTAAGCTACATAACTATTTATGACATAATAATGCATAACAATTATAGCATATAATGGGCTATTATTTGTTGGCATTGGTGTGCAATTGCTCTCTAATTGAGTGCTTTTTAAGTGCAATTTGGTTTGCAATTCACTTGAATAACAATCCCATGCTATTAGACTATAAATCAATCAGACTATAAATACTATGGTAACTGTTTATAAGCATTTAAATTTCATGATTTATTGCATGTACTACAGATTGTGTGACACTTATAAAAAGTTGTAAAACTATCGGTTAATTCATTTCAATAATAATTTTCTGCAATCGTTTTCTAATTAATTAATTTTTCAGATCCATTAGAGGCGAGCGATGAGTCTAATTAGCAAACGTGTGCTCTTTCGACAGGTATTTCATTCATTAATGATTACTTTGAAATGTTTTAATTAATGCAATAAAACTTTTAACTAGTTGTTTGACAGAATATCGTGCACTTATACCTATCTGTTGGCCGATAAGGCCACTAAAGAGGCCATACTTATTGATCCGGTGCTCGAGTGTGTGGACAGGGATTTGCAATTAGTTAAAGAGATTGGTTTAAATGTAAATTATTTTACAACTTATTTGCATTTTGAAGTGAATAACAAATTCAAACATATCTAACATTAGTTGAAATACGTGGCCAACACTCACTGTCACGCCGATCACGTGACCGGATCCGGACTCATAAAGACAAGACTCAACACCAATCCATCGCAACCCACTGTCAAGAGTATTATCTCCGAAATAAGTGGAGCCAAAGCTGACATCAAAGTGGATGAGAATGATGTGATCACTTGCGGCGAATCCATCAAATTGAAAGTGTTATCCACTCCTGGTATTTGTCATCAATTGATTGCACCAAATATTTTATATGCCTCTAATTGAGTGTAATATTTATCATTAGGCCATACAAATGGTTGTGTCACTTATGTGGACACCGATAACGGTTTGGTATTCACTGGCGATGCGCTACTAATCAGAGGGTGTGGTCGTACAGACTTTCAACAGGGTATTTAACTTTTTATCTAAAAGTGGTAAAATTTATGAAATAAAATTTATCAATTTTACAATCAGGCGATTCGGGCTTATTATGGGATTCAATACATCAAAAGATTTTCACATTACCCGACAATTTCAATGTATTTCCCGCTCATGACTATAAAGGTTTGCCATTTATTACACAACATTATTGGCAATGGTTTGTAATTTTATTGTTATTTAAATGTCAGGACAATTACTGTCGACAATAACCGAAGAGAAACGCTTTAATCCGAGACTAACGAAATCAAAGGAGGAGTTCATTGAGATAATGGCTAATCTAAACCTGGATTTGCCTAAAATGATTGGTATGTTTTGTTGTTATGTTTTATAGTTAACTATTTTTGTGATAGCGTTATAATTATTTGTTAATTGTATTTGAATTGAATTTACGAACACAGATATCGCTGTCCCTAATAATATGGTTTGCGGTCTTCACTGATGATGGCGTTTGGATGTGATAATAATTTATATTTACATCATGATGCTTTTAGATTTTTAGTTAATCCTATTACTATAATCAATTAATTAAATATTTCAAATTATTGTTATTGGTATGAAAATGTTGAAACTTTGAAACTATTATTTTTCCAAACTTTGTTATGTTTATCGATATTTATTTAAGATTTTTGTATTAAACTAAGAAATTGTAACAATTACTACAGTATTGTAATAATGAGACAATGGATTACGAATTTTGTTTGAATTCTGAGACCATTTAAAAGAATAGAAAGTTTTAATAAATAAAAGCAAATTTAAATCATATCTCTTGTAAATACTTTTTGAAATTTTATTCAAACTTTGAATAAAAAACAATATCTGTCTATCAATGAAATCTCATTGATGAGCACCGGGTATACATTTGTGACCACATCTAGCTATTGTTGGACTGGCCATCCGGCCGGTAAATGAACGGCACACTCGTAGCAATCCTCAACCATCGACACCGATTCATACAAGTTCTGCATTCGTCTCAATAATAAGTAGTATTGTTTTCTACAGGCGTCCAACAGTTGCAGACACTCTCCGATGTCCAGCGGCTGCGGTAGGTTTGGCTGGAGTGGGCCTCTCATCGCCCGATCCATGGCTTCAACCGCGAGGAAGAAGTGATGTCCAAAAGCGAGCGCTTGTGTCCGTCTATCCCGTAGTGCTTTCATCACATTTCCATCGTTTAACGATGTGTTCATCTGTTGGGCGGCATTCGTTCGCATCATATAAACCCGTTGCTGAGCGCCGACGCGGACACTCATGGACTGACCGCCTTCTCTGTCTACTAGAGGTCCGGCGGAGCGAAAGTATTGATCATTTGGGGAAAATACTAGCCATCGCTGTATAGTGTCCTGATAGGTGCAATTGAACAGGTGCTCGCCGTTTGCGTTGAACACATCCCGGTGCCCACCATTACCCTGTACGACAAAGTCGACCGTAACCATCAAATCGATGAACACTGTTTGCTGGCCAATGATATTCAAATCGATAAACATTGGCTCGTGAGGAATTCCGTGGAAGTTGGCCGCCATCTCCTGGATCTGCTGCAAGCTTGTGGTCAGTCTTTGAGCCAAACCAGCGATAATTGGCTGCAAAGTTGGCTGATTCGGTACCTGTTCGGCCATTTGCAGCGCCTGTGCCTCAGCCTCAGCGAAGTCTACTTGAAATGGCTGCGGAATTAGCGGCAAACCCGGTCCCACCGGTGGCGGCGGCACTTGTGGTAGCACTTCGTGAATAACCATCGCGTGGACGAAGATATTGTAAGCCCTGATGGCTTTGGCTAACAGATCGGTGGCCCGCATCTCGAGTGACGCCAACCGGGCTCTCATCAAACCAACCCTACTCTTCAATAGCTCTCTGTCCGCCTCATTGTCAACAGTAATGGACTGTCGGTGCAGTCGATAGAGACTGTTCTGAAGTATCAGCAATTCTGTGAGCATATTGTCGTAGCGGACCATTCCTCTGACACCCGGCGGCCAAAACACGTCGGCCAACCGGTTGGCCGTTTCGATGCCAATGAATGCCACTCTAGTGCTCTGTTGCCAACCGCCCGGCGCCTCATTGAGTTGGACCCAACCCCTGGCGACCGCGCCGTTGTCTCCATGTGTGCCGCATGTATAGCAAGCGATGGCAGTGTTGGGTTCAGTCACGGGGAGCTCTTCATCACTGGAGCTGAAGACCAAACGCCAACAGAAGGCGCACTTGAAGTTATCACGAAAACGACAGCAAGAGTTAAATGTTAAGCGAAAAATGGAGGCGAAGAACAAGTCCAAGAGTGGTGTCGCCGGCGGCAGTGGTGCTGATGCCGAGCCCATGGATGCCGACGACCAACAGGTTAATAGTGATAGCAATGAATGAATGATTTAATAATGTTTAATGAAATAGTTTTGTAATCAATTCATTATATTTTGTTTGAGATATGCTTTTCATTTGTTTTAATTGTGAAAATCATTTCCATTGTAAGCGAAAAGTTATAAAAATTATATTTAAATAAATTCATTGAATTAAAAGTTAAAAATTCGTAATTTATTAAACTACTAAATCACCTAGACCATTTCTAAGCTAAACAATGCAAAGTACATTTAATTTGATTACGATTTATATACAGTAGTTTCATAATTTATAACTCGTTATTAATTATTACAAACTTACAGTTAATTTGCATTAAATTTCAATGCAAAATAGCGTTGCAATTGACTACAAGTATTTAATGTAATGTAACATTTCAACGCAAAAATAAATTAAACTAAAATTTTATACATATAAAATAGTAATCGCGATTGTAATATAATAATTACAATTAATTAAAACTATTAATAAAAGTGTTACTTAAAGCGTGTGTAACAGTAAAGTGAATACACTGTACAAGTGGAAAGCCCTTCACAAACGCGAGATAGAGAGCAGCTGTGTTTGCGTTGCACAAGCGCTGCATATAATCAACACACAAACAATCATACATTTTCATTGTATACTCACTACTAAACATCACCCATGGCTTCACTGTTCGGCACCAAAAAAACGATAGCATAGGTTACTGTTATACAGCATTGCTCGACAATGAAGCGACATTTATTCGAAAGGGGCAATGAGTTAAGGGGCGAATAGACATTACAGGCAATGTTATGCCTATTCATTGAGTGAAGTGTTGGCCATAAAAAAGTGGTGAATATATTGTTGTATGGATTGAGTGGTTGTATGTCTCGTATGTCTCGTATGTGTTGTTAAACAAAACACTGATTTCTCTCACAACACATGCCATTCAATGCGTATTTAATACTCATTTAATGTGAATTAAAAACACCATTAATTAACCGTTGATTACATTTATATACACTAATCAATCGCTACACGTGTTTAGCCACTCATCCGCCGCCGTTGTGTCCATTATTACCGCCGATTTCAGTGACAAACACACAGAGAAAATAACAGTTGTATTGTTGTTACGCTCGCGAAGACATCACTGGAGCTGATCTACGATTGAAAGACATATATATATTTGCATCGAAAACAATGGCCATTAGAACGGGACCGGAAGGGGACGACTCGGCGGCAGTGGAGCGCCAGTCGTTGACCGCAACCGCCAACCCGTCAGCCGTCGTCGATATACACCGTCTGTTTGATTACAATCGGTATATATTTAGCCACTCTTTGTCTTCCGATGTTTAATGATATGATTGATTGTTTTGTATTGTCCGCCAGTATTGACCAAAACACCCAATTATTACCGTTTCTATGGCTCGTAATGTACTTTCCGTTTGGTTTGTGTCTATTTATAATCCGCGTATTCATTGGTTTACACGCACTCCTCATCGCCAGTCTTCTTCCCAAGAAGTCTTCGTTCAGATGGTATGACCAACTGATCCGCGAATTACATTCCTCTTGTGTCCCGATATCTGGCCATTAATTAATCTCTAATGAGTTGTTTATGACATAATTGTTTGTCTTAAGTGAATGTGTTGTTAGTGTGGAAAAGGAGGCGCCCATTGAGGCGGGGGTTGAGTGTTAAGTGTGGACTACAGAAGCGTTTATTTATCATTTAGTTAATGTCTCAATGAATTTAATACTATCTTTAGTATAATAATTAGGGATTTAATTAAATAATTACTTTATCCTTGTTTTTAGTCATTTATGCTTTTTTTTATTGGTTTTGAATTTTATTTTTCAAATGTCTTTATAGTCGAGTCATAAGTAATTAAATCGCTAATTAAAAGTCATTATTAGGTAATAAATATGTTATGCAATTATAATTATGTTTTTTGGCCAATAACTTAACTATTTATATAATTGAATGCAATTTAAACTTAATGTTAATTATAATTATCTCATGGTTTTAGTTTCATTTTGCGGACGATGTGTACAATTTTGGGTATAATAATCAAAGAGGAGAACGCGTCCATCGATGTCAAGTCGAAAACACGGGTAATCGTAAGCAATCACATCACAAACATCGACCACTTGGCTGTGGATCTGGTGATGCCGTGTATTGTGCCGGGAGTGTGGGATTTGCCCAAATTCCTCAACTGGGGGCTCGGCTTTCACGACTTCGGTGTGAAACAGGGGAGGGATGTGCTCATCGAGAACGTGAAACTCCATCTGCACTCCGACCGCAAAGACATTCCCATTCTGTCGTATCCCGAGGGCGCCACCACTAATGGCCGCGTGGGTCTACTCAAGTTCAGCAGTTGGCTCTTCACACTGGACGCCAAAATACAGCCCATTTTCATACGCGTGTGGAGACCCGCGCCGCTCAACGTATCGGTCTCTGTGGTGGACAGTCGCTGGTGGACAGACCTCTTCTGGTTTCTATTCGTTCCCTTCTCTGTCTTCACAATCAAGTAATCGATGCGTTATTCTTTGTGGCAATGATTTGTTTGTTTGTGTCCTAATATTTGTGTATTGTTTTTGTGCAGATATTTATCAGTAGTCGAGAAGAGTTTTGGCGAATCGGCCGATGATTTTGCCAAAAGAGTGCAAACAATGATGGCGTCGGAGATGAAGGTGTGCGCCACCAATCATACGGACGCCGATAAGATAGAGCTCGTGAAGAGACACATACAAACGCAGGCCCAACAGCACCGGTCGGCGGCCAACACACCCGGTCCGTGGCAGACGCATAGCCGACAAAACACGGCCCGAATCCGCGCGGCGAACAGCCCGTCGAGTCCGTCGCGGGCGACCCGAGCGTCGACGGCTGTGGACACGATGGCGCTTAAGGTGAAGGAAGTCTTACCGCAAGTGCCCATAAGTGTCATACAAAGAGACATTAAAGTGACCACAAATATAGACGAGACGATCACTCGGCTATTGGACGGAACCGTTCAATACGTGCCGGAGAAGCCGATCGCCGCCGAAGCACAAGCCAAAGGCGGTCCGTCATCGTCGTCGTCGGCGGTCAACGCTTCAAACAATAGTTACATATCGACAGAGAGTATGAAACCGTTTTATTGCGGGTCCAAAACGTTTGGCAAGAATGCGAACGAACGGACAAAGTCTTACAAAGAGCGCAAAGAGGCTCTGCTCCGGACGGCGCGGCACAGGTATCTCGAAAGGCATGGTTTGAACGGCACCGCCGGCGGCGACTAATTTAATGGACACTTGTTTTGTGTGTAAATAATATATACGACGACTTGACTCTAAAACATGGTATACAATAAAATAAATGATTTTTGTAATGATTATCATATTTTAATTCCCGATTTTAAACCATTTGTGGCTCAAAATCGCATCTAATTATTGTCTTTTAAATTAAATTAGTTTTTTCCACTTTAAAACAGACATTAAGTTTCGTTTCTTTCTTTCTTATCATTGAAATAATGATTTTATAGATTTATTTTAAGTGAAAAATACAGTTCTTTTTCATTTATTGTTCAAATTTTTACGAAATTAAGTATTTATTTGTTTTAAGAAACATATGTTTGGGTTTTAAACGAATTAAATGCGGCTTTAATTGAATTATTAAATTAATAATAAGACTAAATAATAACTACTATTCGTTGTTTTGTATTACAAAAAACATATTTCTCTCACATATACTGTAACAACAATTTTTGTCTCAATTAAATGAATAAATTGTAAAGTAATTTATTTTTTCATAAAATAGTATTTTTAAAACATGGATCAAATCTAAAAACGATTCCCACATCTCATTCATCCCTTAACTCTTACAGCATTTTATCATAACTTTATTTCTCAAATGATGTCGTGTTTGGGCTCAACAACAGATGCAGTGGTTTTCATTGCATAGAGAAGGAGAGAGTGAGAGAGTGTTGGAGAGAAGCTGTGAGAGAGAGGGAGAGAGAGATGTTTATGAATTGATGCGAAAAGTGAAGCCAAGAGATAATTGTCAACACATAATGAGTGACACAATTGACTGATAAAAAAGGTATTTAAAGCCCAATTATAGCGCTAATTGTGTAATGTGTGGGTCAGAGATGTGTTACCAATGGATGTGTGTCTCTGGATGTGAGTGTCAATAGCAATGAGGCAATACATTTGGCCGCACATTAGGTGCGGTCGACTCATAGCTGTTAGTGCCTATGGCTGTGTGTTATTGTACGGGCGATAGGCGTACCCAACACTGCACTCATACCCTATGTCTACCATATATTGGCATTTCTTCCCACTCTATACTTACGGCTCTAATATTTAAAATTGTATTCAATTTTTGTAACAAAACTTTTAAAAATTTCTTTTTAAAAGTTTTACAGAACTTATATTTGAGAAATAAATACTTGTTTTTAAATACAAATTGTGTGGCATTTTGTTAAGGAATCGATGCTTTTATTTGACAATTAGTGATATTTTCTAAATAAATATATAACTTATAAAACTTTGTCTTTTGTTAAATTAAATCAATTCTCAATTCTTGCGATTATTATAACATAAATGAACAGAATTTATAATAATTTTACATTTAATTCACTGATTATTAAAACAAACAAAAAATAAAACAATTAAAAACATATCTGTTATGCCTTTTGATGCGATAGTTAACGATGTCTTCAGATGTGATATCAATTGAGAGACTGAACCGTTCAATTGGTGGCCAAACATCGGTGACAACAGCGGGTCTGAACTGTTTCGGTGACTCGCAATCGATGGACGCGATCGCCAACGAGATAATGAACTCGAGTTCGTACGACATCGCGAACTCAATGATCAATTCAGACATCGCGGACACCATTCAATTGACAGCAGTCGAGACCAACGCCGAGGCCTACCATCAAGACATGCATTCGGCGGCCATTGAGTACTCGCTGTCCGCCAATAGGCTTGTGGTGACTGTCGAGGACTGCAGTGACGAGAGTTTTGCCGAATTAGTACAACACGTGAGCAACGGTTCCAACGGTTTGAGTGACGGAACTGTGGGTTCGGTGTCGACCCGATTGAGGCGCCGAAAAGCCACTCAACCACAGCGACTCATCTATTGTGACCTCGACTTTGCTATAAGTGACGACCAAAATGGCAAACAAACCACTGATCCAAACGGTGATGCCATTAATGAACTGAACACTAATGACAACAATTGTGACCAAAATGGGTACACAATCGACGAAATGGTTTTAACAGATTTAGACACTTCTGGACATAAAGTGGAAGAAGAAGAGGAGGAGGAAGAAGAAGAAGAAGAAATAGACGAAGAAGAAGAGACAGTGGAAGAGGAATACACGGAAACAACAACTGAAGATAATGAAACTAAACCACAAAAAGTGAGTTTATTTTTTGTGTGACATTTATTTTGCA